TATTTCGTCTTAAATTACCTACGTTCGTGTGTCACTGCATGGCCGGATATGGGTGAAAATTCAATTGAAGGCAGGGGAAGAGCAAAATGAGCTAGACACGATCTTTCATCCACAAATCACAATATAATATTCTTACTCATTCACTCATAACTGAATGGTTTTCCGTTCATTTAGGCAAACATTCTATACTCGTATCTAAGTATCTTTGAAGAGCTCCTAGTGTAAATTATGTTCATAAATTTATGCTCAAAATTCCATCTGAAAATAAGTTAAATAAATTGTTGAAAAATATTGCGCTAGAATATATATGTACTACGTACGTATATATTCAAAAATGAAGGAATCAGCTTTGAGTATAGAGCATTCCAATGCAAAAGTGTCAATAGCACTCACATGCACACACATGCCACGAGAGATATAAACACAAAAGAATTACTCCCTCCTCCGTCCCTCTTATACTGTCATGTTTTACCTTTTCGGGAAATCCTCTTCCGTCCCAATATAAAAGGGACGAAAGTAGTAATTAATCTTCACTTTCTTTGATTGCGCAATAAAGTTTTGGTACTTTTTATTCATAATATCAAGCACAATAAATTTTTGGGTTTTTTATTCACAATGTCAAACGGAATTTTCCTACTCCATCGTACTTTTCTTTCACTCTTATGTCATATGTGCACCGTTGACACTCGTTATCTTTATGCATGCTCTTCTATTAGAGGAATCTATAACATATTTTAATTTTATCTACTTGTACTCCTCTCATGTAGTATATGTACTCCCTCTAGTTCTAAATAAACTTCACACTTTCCTTTTTGGGTAGGTTCAAAATAAACTTCACACTTCTTCTCCCTTCCTTATTTGGCAAATTATCTACATCAAAATAGTGCAAATCAATGCAAAACGGTGCCAAATAGTGCCAAACAGTGTCAAACAATGCCACAACAGTATACTCTACAGTAAAGTCAAATTTATTTCCTTAATTTTTGTGAAGTCAAAGTGTGAAGTTTAAAAAGAACCGGAGTGAGTATTTTCTAACAGAGCAGTGTATATTTGAGTTATGTATTTAAGAGTATACTGATTCATGCTTTCCAAATTATAAGATTGTTTGTGGCCCTTGCTTCAAATTAATGACACGTATTTTTATGAATAATCTCACACCCCTAAATTAACTTCAACTACCAACCCCAAACAAGCTAATATTTGTGGGTCCTGCATTAACTAATTAGCTTTAATCTCACAAATAATCTATCAAATATATACCCCTACGGCTTACCAAATAATCTATACCACTCAATCATGCTCCCGAAAATAATCATTGTATCAACACGATCCCTTAACAATCTCATGAACGGAAATGCCTTTGAGGTGTTTGAAAAATGATGTTTCGACTACAAAAAATGACGGTTTGATATCTTTTAGCTTTTTCAATAAGTGAAAACATTGTTTGGTAACGCTTAAATGAAAAATGGCGTTCAGCCCTAACAGTTTTGGACGGAATCGCTTAAATGGGAATGCTGCAAAGAGAAGATTTTGGGTCTACTAATTGTTATGGCCAAATAGCTAAATTACTAAACATTTTCTAGCAATCCGCAAACTTATTCCGCTAGTCAAATCTTAAACATGAAAGGGAGAGTCATAAACCTCCATCAACCTTTCTCTCTCTTTCCCCTTCAACAACATATCTTCACAGTCTTCCCATCTCCTTCCCTTCAAACTCCCAAACATACCTTGACAATTATCAAGAAACAATTTGAATCTTCTGGGAATCTGGGCCTTGCAAAAGATTTGGCACTTGGAAATTGGAAAGAGCTTGAAAGAGGAACTGGGAACGGTGTAGAAAATGTGGAGAAAAAAAGTGAAGTAAAGAAAGAAAACAATTAAGGGTATGTTTGGGAGTTAGTTTTTGGGATGGAGGGGAAGACATTTGAGGGTTGATGAGTGATAACCCTCCTATTTGTGTTTGGGAATTTAAAAAAGGAAAAATTGAAAATAATAATCCCAACTATTGTCGGTCTGCTGAAAATAATCCCAACTATTGATTATTTTTGTATAATCCCAACTATATAGACTATCCGCCAATAATGGTCCATGACCATATATTACCTCTATAAAAAGTGAATTTTAAATAGAAATTAAGCGTAAAAATTAATAGTTGAGATTATTTATAGGGATTACTTGTTATATCTCATCTCATCCACTTTAGAAACTACAAGAATTTATTCATAGGGACCATTATTGGCGGAAGGTCCCTAAAGTTGGGATTATTCTGTAATAATCAATAGTTGGGATTATTATGAGCGGACCGCCAATAGTTGGGATTATTACTATCAATTTTTGCTTTAAAAAATGTAGAGGAATGATTTTGCAAGGCTTTTGTTACCATCCAAAGCCCCTCAAACGCTAAATTTTTAAATTTCCCCAAAATGGAGGATTTTGAAAGATAAATAATTAAACTATAAGTTAAGTTAAGCTAAATGATACGTTTGTAATTTCCGTATGTTTATTTACGTTTTTAGTTAGTTTTGATTGTTTAATATTTCGGAAATTACACACTTTCGGTGTAATAGTTTAGTTTGTTAAATTCTTGTAATTTGTTTAGATTAGGTTTATTATGAGCTTAAACAGGTCCAAGATCAATCAAATGATCAATGGTGAAGGAAGGTGCAAGAGTACAAGACAAAAAGAAGGAAAGTTCCTGATTTTGACCTATACTCGATCGAGTACACCTTATACTCGATCGAGTACCAATACTGATTTTCAAGGATCCGATCCGGGAACAAATGAACATGCAAGGAAAGATTTGGCCACGTTCTATTGTCATACCCGATCGAGTACACCGACATACTCGATCGGGTATAGCTATAAAATATACCCGAATATCGATCGAGTATGGATCAAATTCGAAGTTCTACACATACTCGATCGAGTATATGTACATACTCGATCGAGTACTCGGCCTGCACCTCAAAAAGCCTATAAATACACCTCCTTTCCTTCACTTTAAAGAATCAATTCATATATACTCTTAAGCTCAGTTTAGAATAGCATTTCTCTATATTTCTTTTAGCATGTTTAGTCTCCAAATGAGGAGCTAAACTTCCATTTCTTGGTATTGCTCTTGAAGCTTGTTGATTATTAAAGTTGTGAGTTATTTTCTTAACTTCTTTTCCTTGAATATTAATTCTTCCTTTAAATACTATTTCTATATCAATGTTGGGGAGTGTTACTAAGATGACAATTAGTTAACATCTTGACATTGGTTTTAGTAATAGCTATTCCTTCCTCTATGTTAATATCGGGGAATGTTACTAAGATGACAATTAGTTAACATCTTGATATTTAACTATAATAGGATTCATTTTCCTTAATATTCTTCCTTGAGTATAAATTAATTCCTATTCATATTTCATATTAATATTTTGAACATTACTTAAAGGATCAACTAGTTTTGTTTCAAATATTAATTATTACTAGAAACGATCAACGAACCGATGCTTAATCGTTGATGGTTTCACAAGTAAGTAACTTCGGTTTATTAATGCACGGTCGTGGTTAATAAACTTAAGAGGGATTAATTTTGTTGGTTAAACCGAAACCGTTGTGTTGAGGTTATCAATCTCAATTGATTTCATCAAGGAGTTAAAAGATTAAATGCTACTATCAAGTCGGTATATGGCATTGTTCTATACTTGACTAATAGTAAAGGTTATTAATGAACGGTTGTTGTTAATAACTATCCTCGATGAATTGGATACACTCCTCGATTGAGTATTCGAGAGGAGATAAGTTATAGATATAACAATGATCGACTAAAATATATCAACAAGCGGAAAGTAGCAATGCCAAGTCCCTTTTATTCTTGAATTTAATCCCATATAACTCGTTCATCTTCGTGTTTAATTTAATTAAATCACTCAAACAATCAAAACCCCCTTTTATTTACTATTTACATAAAAAGAAAGTTATTCCTTTCCCTGTGGATACGAACTCTACTTCGTCTATACTACGTATAAGTGTTAGTGTTGAAATTACTTTGAGTGTACTCATGACAAAGTGCACGTCACTAAATTTAAAATGAATATCAGTACAACTATTTGAAATCACAATATCATAGAAGTGTTGAGAGGTGTGATTAGGGCGGTCTTCTCCCTAGTAAGTCTAGGGCTAGGTATTTTCACAGCTTAGACGTGCGGCCATTCAATATATCCGCCACTTAGGCGTGCGGCCGTTTCCAATCTTGGTGCTCGGATTTCACTTCTCTTTAAGCTAGGGAGCAATCATCTGGAGTCACAACAGTTGGTGGGCATGGAGAGCGAAGTCGGGGTTGAAGGGAACAAAGTCGTAGCTCTCGAGTTTGGGCGACCCTTCGTAGCCTATTCTACTTGGGTGGATTGGATTGGGATCTCTGAGTTCGCTCTGGTTTCTAGGTCGTGTTTTCTGCCCTCAATTGGATTGGATTGTGTCGTGCTTGCCGAAGATTCGAAATCTAGAAGTATGAATGCTTCACGAATCTTGGCCGATCTGTACGGAGGACTACAACTGGGGACTGTTGATGGAGTCGTGCAAAAACACATAGGATGACTATGGTGGACCAGAATCCGATCAATGATGAAAGATCAATCACAGTGGTACTGATGATTCGGCCTCCTCCTGAACCACCACCATGGGTTGAACGAGGTGTTAGGGTTCAAGAAATCTTTACTATTAATTATGGTTCTTTAGATTATTCTGTTTTTATGTGTTGTTTTATTTCGAATTGAATGTTGTTTTGGTCGTATTTTTGGTTCCTAGCAGAAAAACTCTAGAATTTAGGTCAGGTGATGAGTAGTTTGCCCGTCATTGACTCAGGTAAGCCCAGGATCGGCGAATCTTATCGCTTCTACGGAGGTGATAGATTCTAAGTTTGGTTCAAGAACAGACGGTAGACAGAGGACTTTTTATCGATTTTTAACTTGCTTAAGTTCTGTTGATTTAATATAAGCCAACTTTCTTCCAAAAAAAATCTCAAAAGTGTTTAATTATAAGAACCTCTTTTTCCAAATTTACTACTCCCAAATAAGATGAAAGTTTCCTCACCTTTCCTTCCAATTTTCCCTCCAACAACTTACCTTCAAAGTCTTCCCCTCCCTTTTACCCAAAACTCCCAAACCTACCCTACATGGATATAAACCTACCCTAATGGAGAGTAGCATCTCCAGAAAAGACCAAAAGTGCACTTTATAGCAGTTGCTACTACATACGCTACTGGATCTTTGCAAAATAAACTAGTGTCAAACCAATCCTATTGACCAAACAATCTTACAATATTGTCGGTTGCCGTTACAGGTCATTGTGACAAAATATACACAAATTTTGCACAGAACTCCGAAGTGCGACTGTAGCCCGTTGACAGGGGGCGCCCACCTAGATTTCACTGCAAATAGAAAAGGGGTTCAGTGACTTGATCAGACACTCAGTCATGCTTCAAGAGACATAGATCTGACATTAAGAACTGAATCCTCTATAGCATCTTCACCGTGGAATTACAATAAGGAAAGCCACATTAAATTTTGGATTAAGTTTTCTCATCTTAAATATCAAATTGGACTATCCCTACAGCAACTCTATGGTAGAGTTACTACCAAGGGTCGGTTTCTTTTTATATAATTGCACACCACAAAGGACTCAAAAGTCAAAATATACTTATTCTGAGTCATCTTCATACTCTTCGAACTCCCCATTTTCCTGAAATGGTATTGGAACTTATTATGAGAAGAACTTCTCGAATAAGTGTTTCAGATGAATCAGATGTGTGCTTGGTCACCAAAAAAAACCTTTTAAGGCAGCTACGAACAAGCTTACCTTTCTTTTGGTATAGTCTGCCATAGCTCTATCAAACTCTCTTCGTCTCTCTGTAGCAATATCATAATACTGAACTTTTTCCTGTAGCCAAACATAATGGAAAGTTAGAGAGCCTACATTTCATTGCCTAACCTGCTGACTTTGTTGTTTCCATAGCAAAATTGCCATGGAAGGTTATTATGTCACATACCATTATGAAGAAAATCATAAAAGTGCATTGGTATAGAAAATCTTATTTGGAAACTGGGTTAGTCATAGCCAGCAAATTCCTTGTTCAAAAATCCCAGTAAATATATAACTTTAAAATCCCAAAAGTTAAAACTAAATGTAAAACGAATAAACCAGGATATGGTGAGACACAAGGCATAAGGATCAATTTCAGCAGGTTATTTTGGTATCAGGGCAATCATCAAATATAGCTCCAGACTAGGATAAAAGGGTACAACGAAATAACACTAGTACGCAGCATACTTAAATATTTCATACGAACCCAAGATCTTTTTCCTATTTTTGTTTGGGCGGGTACCAAGCATGATGCTAGGACCTCCACCATTTTATGATTATATTATTGCTGAAAATACTACCAATAATAAAATAGTTAGAATTCATCATAACTAGCTCCTGCAATAACACATATCACTTGTGAGTTAAAATAATTTTAGCCTGAAGCCTCTAAGCTAATGAGAATTAATTGAACTTCACTCTTTAGTCTTTACAATTTCCTCTGAAATCCAATCTTAACAGTAGACTCCGAACGAAAGCAATGTTACACCTAAAGAACCATTAATGATTCTAGCTTTAAGTCTTTTAACTAAGGGTGTAGATACATTATCAGTTGTAAGAAATGTAAACAAATGTAAAGATATATGATAATATATTAATTTAAGGGTGTCAAGAACTCCATAAGTGTTTCACTGCGGGAAAACTATTCATTGAAATGATGCAAATGTAGGGAGACTATATGGGCACATATTTGTGTGCATATAAATGAATATAGTAAATACATAAAATTATGCACAAAGTATCATTGTGATATCATAGCTACACACTATGGAATTTTGGTAAGTTCTAACCTCATAAGTCATTGTCTTCCACTTCTCTCCACAAGCCTTCCCAACCTAGAGCGTGAGCAACAAAATAAATGCTGAGAAATCCAACAAAATTTGGAGTTTCAACAACAACAAAAAACATATATAGATAAAATGGATATTTGCTTCTTTGGTGCCTCAATTTTTACCAACTATTTAATGCAATCCCTCCTCATTGTTAATTTGATGGACTCCAGTCCTTTAAAGGTTAAAAAAAGTGGTTAATTGAGTCCATCACATCCTCTTTCCAAAATACATCATTGAGAAGTTAAATGCAAATGATGCTAATGCTACTATGGAACAACAATAAATGTCAAAACAATTACAAGGGTGTGATGAACTTAATTGACTACGTTGACATAATAAAGAGCCTACAACTCACCAAATTGATAATTAGGACTACATTGCAGAATAATGAACAAATGAAGGCTCAAAACAATGACTTTCCATACTAAAAAATGAAGGAACTTATTACATCGCGCATTGACTTCACATCCGGATTCTTCTGCTGGAATTCCTTACGGAAGTCCTCCCTATATAAAGGAATATTGGGCTGGTCAGCAGTTAATTTCAGAGACGTTAAATTTTAAGATTGGTCAGCAGTTATTTCAGAGACCTTCAAATTTAAGATTGGTCAGCAGTTATTTCAGACAATTTAAATTTCAGATGTGCTTCAAATCTGAAACACTAATTACATCTCATGGTTGCCCGGAAAAGCTAAACAAGTTTCAACAATTGCAAAGCTTAATTCTTAACTCATGCTGCAGCATGTAATTCAGTATTTACTATTACAGGTATTTTAGGTTATTAACCACTACCACCTAGCTGTTATGGATCCATTCTATGGACAAGTATATCAACGAAGGCCTGGGCGAAAAGATTTAGGAAACTTAGTTGGGCCAATCGAGAAGGATCAGGGTGATTTACGTGGCTGACTGGAAGGCTAAGGGAAAGCTGGCAGCATTTAATTAATAAGATCCTAGTTATTTCCCATTCATAGTTATTTCCTAATTTAATTAGGAAAGCTGGCAGCATTCAATTAACTAGATCCTAGTTATTTCCAATTCATAGTTATTTCTTTATTCAATTAGGAAACTTCCTATTATCCTTATGCTTCCTATTAGGACTCTTGTAATCTCTATTTAAGGAGCCTAATATTGTTTAATAAAGGAGCTTTGGAGAATTAATTTGTTGTGTCTTGACTAGGTCGGGCACAGGTTAATTCCTAAAGACTTTTCATATTTATTCTCTGCTTTATTCAATAATCTTAGTATAACAACATTGATACTAAGGTCTCAGTAGGCTCTTCTTCTGTCCTGAGATCTCGTTTGAGACCTTGGACAAGGTCTTATACGCGAGTTCTTAACAATTTGGTATCAGCATCAGGAACGATGGGAACGGGACCAGATTCTGCTGCAACAGAAAACATGAAGAGTCTCCTTGAAGGCTTTGACCAACGTCAGATCGATGTCGAGGATCAACTGGCAGCCCTTCAAACCACGGTCTCTGGTTTAGTTAGCCTGCCCACAGCCTTCACCGAGATGCAGAAATCCATCGCAGCACTGACCAGCGCTGTCCAGCAGGTTCTGACCGACAACTCCTGTGAGCCATTCGGACAGGGACGACGCAGGGATACCGAGCCGCACCAGCGCCACACTGAGGATTCCATGGTTCCACGTTTTTCTAAATTGGAGTTTCCCCAATATGATGGAAAAACTGAACCCTTGTCATGGCTTAAACACTGCGAACGGTTCTTTATTCAACAAAGAATCCCTCCCCAGAACCGAGTTGGTTTAGCTACTTTTCACATGGTCGGTACTGCCCAACTATGGGCCGACCAGTTAGACTCTGTGGGTACTGGAGTCACTTGGACTGAGTTTTATACCAAGTGCTCAAAACGTTTCGGACCGCCAGGCAGTGCCAATCCAGAAGGTGACCTAGCCAAGCTGCGGCAGACATCAGACTTGGAATCCTATATTGAAACGTTTCAGCAATTGTTGGCACACACAGTTGGCATATCAGTCCGAATGCAAGTCAAAATTTTCACTGCCGGGCTACGTGATTTGGTGCGTATGGAGGTGGAGTATCAGGACCCCCTTGATCTTGACTCTGCCATGATGTTGGCTCGGACCGTTGAGCGGAAGTACCAAACTCCGCTTACCACTACTGAACCTTCAGGACGGCCCCAACCATTGTCTAGTCCGATCACGTCAGCAACGACACTTACTGATCCCAATTTTTCTCGTCGTAGTTCTAATCCAACTTTCAAAAAAAATTCTCGCGCCGAGGCAGCCATACGACGTGAAAAAGGGCTATGCTATAATTGTGATGACCAATGGGTACGCGGCCATCGTTGTAAAAGGCTGTTCTTTGTGGAAATTGTGGAGGATGACCAACTCGAGGAGGATCACAGGCCACATACCGAGACTGAACCCACATTGTCACTCCATGCAATGACTGGATTCGGCTCGTCCTCCACTATGCAGATTCATGCTACCCTCCAGGACCGACCCATTATTATTTTAGTAGACTCGGGTAGCACTCACAATTTTGTGCATGAGCGTTTGGCAACCAACCTTCAAATTCAACCCCTGCGTAATAACCGGTTGCATGTCATTGTGGCTAATGGTGACAGAGTCCCTATAATCGGCACATGTCCTCGCTTGGAGTTTGACGTCCAAGGTAAGACCTTCAGCGCAGGCTTTTACATATTACCACTTGCTAGTTTTGACATGATACTAGGAGTTCACTGGTTGCGTGGACTCGGCTCAATTCTGTGGGATTTTACACGCTTATCAATGCGTTTTACATGGGATGACACCTCTATTGAGTGGCGTGGGCATGATAACTCCCCTCTGCTCACAACCAGTATGGCAGTAGGCCTGGCCCAAGCACCTCCTTCTCTGGACGGCCTTCTTATCCAGTTTGGGGACCTCTTCCAGACACCGGTAGGGTTACCGCCAAACAGGACATGTGACCACCGCATACGCTTACTGCCAGGAGCGGGACCAGTGGTCGTACGTCCTTACCGCTATCCGTACCTGCAAAAAGATGAAATCGAACGTCAATGTGCAGAGATGCTCACTCAAGGAATCATCCAGCCGAGTCGATCCCCATTCTCCTCACCTGTATTGTTGGTCCTTAAATCTGACGACTCGTGGCGGTTCTGCGTGGACTACAGGGAACTTAATTCCAAGACAGTCAAGGATAAGTTTCCTATACCGGTGATCGATGAACTTCTGGATGAGCTTCATGGCGCGTCATACTTTACCAAGTTGGATCTTCGTTCGGGGTACCACCAGATACGTATGGCACCCGAGGATGTCGAAAAAACCGCTTTTCGAACACACCATGGACATTTCGAGTTTCTTGTTATGCCATTTGGCCTCTCTAATGCACCATCCACTTTTCAGAGTTTAATGAATGACATTCTTGGTCCTTATTTAAGGAAGTTTGTCCTTGTATTTTTTGATGATATTCTCATTTATAGTAAATCTTGGTCTGCCCATGTCGCTCATGCACGCCTTGTATTGGACGTCTTGCGTACCCATAATTTGTTCCTTAAAAAGTCCAAATGCAGTTTCGGAGCGACTTCGGTTAACTACTTGGGGCATGTTATCCATGCTGGTGGAGTGGAAGTTGATCGCACAAAGATCCAAGCCATCATGGATTGGCCTACACCGCAATCTGTCACGGCCTTACGCAGCTTCTTGGGTCTGGCTGGGTACTACAGGAAGTTTATTGCGCGATATGGTGAAATTGCAGCTCCCCTTTCCACACTCCTCAAGAAGAATGGGTTTGACTGGTCAGCAGCAGCAAACTCCTCCTTCTGCCAATTAAAGACTTGTTTATCCACTGCCCCAGTCCTTCAACTTCCAGATTTTTCTAAAGAGTTTATCGTCGAGTGTGATGCATCGGGAAGTGGGTTTGGTGCAGTGTTGCAGCAAGATGGCCACCCGATTGCCTATTTTAGCCGGAAAATAGCAAACAGGCATATAAAATTGGCGGCCTATGAGCGAGAATTGATTGGTCTCGCTAAGGCAGTTACGCACTGGAGGCCGTACCTATGGGGTCAACATTTTTTGATACGTACAGATCATTCCAGCCTGAAATACTTACAGCCTGAAATACTTACTGGACCAACGACTCACCACATCTCCACAGCAACATTGGCTGAGTAAGTTGATGGGTTTTACGTTTCGTGTTGAATATAAACCCGGACGTTTCAACACAGTGGCAGACGCACTCTCCTGACAGAATGAAACTCCACCCATGCTCAACTCACTCACTGTGCCGCTATCGACACTACTAGATGAGGTTCGGACTGCCCAGGCAGCATCCCCGGAGATTGAGGCCATTCGACAACAAGTGTTGGCCAGTTCCACTACAGAGGACTGGAAATTTCGAGACGGGTTGCTTTACTATAAACATAAATTGTATTTGTTGGCCTCATGCCCTATTATTTCCACATTACTGTCTCTGTTCCATGGGATGGCCCACGAGGGCATTGCAAAGACATTACATCGCTTACGCAGAGAATTTTATTGGCCAAACATGAAGCTCACAGTGGCCCAATACATACGTGACTGTCAAGTTTGCCAACAGCATAAGTGGTTAAACCTACAGCCCGCAGGTTTGCTTCAACCGCTCCCCATTCCGCAACACATTTGGGCAGATATTTCTATGGATTTTATTGAGGGTCTACCAAAGGTAAACGGGAAGTCGGTTATCCTTGTTGTGGTGGATCGATTGTCTAAGGCAGCCCATTTTATTCCATTAGGTCATCCTTATACTTCTGTGTCTGTAGCAGGAGTATTCTTTGCTGAAATCGTCCGTCTTCATGGTTTACCTGAGTCTATTGTATCGGACCGTGATAAGGTTTTCATCAGCGCATTTTGGCGTGATTTATTTCGCTTGGCCGGGACAAAATTAGCCTTCTCCTCGGCCTATCACCCACAAACTGACGGCCAAACAGAGATCGTTAACCGCACTGTGGGCATGTACTTGCGCTGCTTAACGAGTGATTACCCTCGGGAATGGGTTCGTTGGCTTCCATGGGCAGAATACTGTTACAATACTTCTTATCATACAGCATTGGGTGATACCCCATTTCGTATTGTGTATGGACGTGACCCACCCAAACTAGTTGCACATACTCCGGGAACAGCCCAATTAGAAGGGGTCAAAAGGGAGCTCATTGATCGTGATATCTTGTTAGCTACAGCAAGGAATCGGTTAACACAAGCCCAACAACGAATGAAGCAACAGTTTGACAAAGGTCATCGTGATCTAGCATTCGAAATAGGGGACTGGGTATGGCTTCGGGTGCATCCTTATCGGCAGGTGTCATTACTCAAGCGCCATCATAAGCTCTTACCTCGCTTTTATGGGCCATTTCAGGTGCAGGCGAGAATTGGGGCAACTGCCTACCAGCTTCTATTACCGGCAGATTGTCGTATTCACAATGTTTTTCATGTGTCCCTGCTCAAACCCCATCACGGCCCGGTTCCACAAAATATAAGAGATTTGCCACCACTGGATGACCCTCGTTCCGCACTTCAGCCAGCAGCAGTTCTCCGCAGTAGGAAGCATGACGGCCGGGTAGAACTTCTGGTCCACTGGCAGGGGCAGCTTAAGGAAGAAGCTTCGTGGGAGTCACTGGATACATTCCAATCCACATTTCCTGACTTCAAGCTTGAGGACAAGCTTTTCATTAATGGGGGGAGTGATGTTATGGATCCATTCTATGGACAAGTATATCAACGAAGGCCTGGGCGAAAAGATTTAGGAAACTTAGTTGGGCCAATCGAGAAGGATCAGGGTGATTTACGTGGCTGACTGGAAGGCTAAGGGAAAGCTGGCAGCATTTAATTAATAAGATCCTAGTTATTTCCCATTCATAGTTATTTCCTAATTTAATTAGGAAAGCTGGCAGCATTCAATTAACTAGATCCTAGTTATTTCCAATTCATAGTTATTTCTTTATTCAATTAGGAAACTTCCTATTATCCTTATGCTTCCTATTAGGACTCTTGTAATCTCTATTTAAGGAGCCTAATATTGTTTAATAAAGGAGCTTTGGAGAATTAATTTGTTGTGTCTTGACTAGGTCGGGCACAGGTTAATTCCTAAAGACTTTTCATATTTATTCTCTGCTTTATTCAATAATCTTAGTATAACAACATTGATACTAAGGTCTCAGTAGGCTCTTCTTCTGTCCTGAGATCTCGTTTGAGACCTTGGACAAGGTCTTATACGCGAGTTCTTAACAACCTAGCATCTAGGATCATGACTAAAAAAGGAAATGTAGCCTAAAAACAATCTTATTTGTTATACCAAACAGAGCTTATATCTTAATTATATTTTTAAAAGAAAAAATAAAGTCGGAAATAATCTATACCAAAAAGGAACTTAGTCCATGTGAAGAGAACTTTAATTCAATGGGTCAACTGCCCTTGGAAGCAATAAGGTGAAGCTGCAAGGTGGTTATGGGACTCTTGACCTTTTGTGTAAATTAAGCAACGTTCTACAACAGTTTCCTACTTCTGTACCAGTGTTCTAAAAATCGGGCTGGGCGGCCGCCTAGGCGCCGCCTAGTCGCTAGTCGGTCTGTTACCTTAGCGCTTACTACCAAATCGGCTTCAAAATCGGATGTCCGACTTAGCCGGCGCCTAGCGCGCCTAATCGGCCGATTTTGTAGTTAGTCGGCGATTTGGCTCCAGACTCGGTGCTAGGTTTTTACTTTTTAATACTTTTCTCGTTCGCCCAATTCGCCATGATCTTTCGCTCCGGACTCTAAAGCTATCTTTCTCCACTTCCCATCTTCTACGATTGACTACGAAGCTTCAAGTCTCAAGTTTCTAAGTAAGGATCTCCCATTGAATAGCCCTTTTCAATCTCTCTGCCACCAGCCAGTTGGAGGTAAGTGTTCATCCCTTCACTGATTTCACTCTATTTTGTTTTCATCAAATTTCAGCTTCTTAGGAAATTGGAATTATAATTTGCTGTTTACAATCTCAAAACACTCGGATGTAAAACTTATTTGTGTTAACTGTTAATGATTAAACATTCGGATGTGAAATGTTTAGAACATGCCCAAAGCATAAGCAGACACAAGGAACCCAAGTTCAACACGTGAATGGATAACTGTAGCCTTGACCCTCAAATGATTATTCTTCATACTTCAGATCAAATAAAGAGACTCGACAGTCAACACAATACTAAAATCAAAGATTTTAAGGATATATGTGTATCTTTTGGATATATGAATAAATATTTGGATGTCTATACATATGAATCTGTGTGAATGATACATATGAACTATAAAGTTAGAAATTAATGTAAGCAACTCAATATGGGAACTTCGTAAGTTAAGTGTTTGTCAAATGTCCTCAAACAAGTATAAACCATATTCTTTACTTCACTAGGTTGGAATATGGATAGATGAATTGTTCTTGCAAAACCTATACTTTTTCAAGCTAATTAAGTTAATCATTTCAGAATTCTTTACTTTATCAATAGGTTTACTGGTTCAATTTAAGACTTTAAGTTAATGTTAATAAAACTTACTAAAACCTTTAATAAGTTTATTTAAATTAAAACTTTCTTTTATAATTTAATAACTCACTCAAACATCTCTGTTACTTGCTAATATATTCATAATATGATCACTACTCCTTTCTTTTAAAAAGTCATTGATGCTGATTTTCTACTCCTAGCATTAAACTAATAAGGAATTGACTTCCTGTCCAATGCTTGTTTTAATTTGCATTTTGAATCCCTACTTAGTTGGCTGAATTTTTTTAATTGTGTTTACCGTTTATGTTTTTGGGATGATGATCTATTCTTGAACTTGTTAGGTTCATTGCTTGTTGAGTTGTTTAATGGAAGCTCCAATTGTTTTATGGTATTAAATCATTAACTATGGAACTATTTTTTATAATACTCCATCCATAAGGCTTGTATTTTTTACTGCATACACTAATACACCTGGGTGAATGACTGATTTGAGGCAGAAAACTCCTTGCTACCGAGTTGCCGATTAGTTGCCGATTAGTCGGCCTAGGCGCTAGGCGGCCCTCCCGCCCGACTAGCGCCTAGCGAGTTTTAGAACATTGTTCTGTACTATGCATAAATAGAAAATTTAGGATCGCCAACCAAGAAGATTAACTGATCATGAAATTGCCAAAAAGCCCGTGCAATACTTCTCAATCAGAGCCAGAAACAATAACAACAATCATTAGAAATTTCCAACTTTAAACAAAAAGATGAAACCACATGATGTCATGATGAAACTAGTGCAACATATTTAAATAAAGTAAAAATCAACAAAATTTTCACAGAATTGAAACCACGTTCATATAGAGTAGGGAAAATACAATTTAATGAAAAAGAATCACACACTGAAAGTGCGAAGGTTTGAAACAAAATATCTTACAAGAAGAAGAAGAAGGCGGTTGGAGGTTTCTTAGGCGTATTGGAGTCTATTTTACAGACTTTCTTCGCCGTCGTTTTACGCTTTCTTGCTGAGGATGTTCTGCTCTGTTCTTCTCCGGGGTGCCTCAATTGACGCGGCGGCCTTACTCTCAGCACCATTTTTCTGAAAATTAAATATGAACTTGAAATTCTACGAAATATGAGAGATAGAAGTAAAACAAGTAAGCAAACAAACGGATAGGCCTCTCTATACCCTTCGGATGAATTTGAAGAACTTTTATCGGTAAATGCTGATGATTCCGGTGGTTGTTCACGGGACTCCGAATTTTTCTTCGCCATTGCCTAGTCGTCCGTCTCAGAAAGCATCTCCACTGCTGTCCATTTTAGTAGGCTAATAAATACGGAGTAGTACTCACTGCTAGCTCAGTGACTCGGTCCTTTAAAACTACTCAAAAATATTTTTATTTTGGTGTATGCACTTTTACACATGTTTATGTAAAAAGAAAAAATTGTGTACAGCAGTCAAAATACGTTTTGTCTGCACAGGTGCACATGTGTAAAAGTGTGTGCACCAAAATAGTATATACACCAAGTCAAACTGTTAAAACTTTGTCAAATTTAAACGGCACCAAAATTAACAAAATAAAAATTGTGTGGTAGAAGTTAATGGAGATGAGAGAAAATTAACTGAAATCACAAGTTCTTTACTTAAAAGGGAAAGTGGCAAAGTTAATGGTACAACCAAAAAAGGAAAGTTGACAAATTTTCAAGGGACGGAGGACTATGAACTATTGGATTTAGGGAGTGTTTGCAAAAATTTAAAAAAATGTTTTCCAGCTTCTGGTTTTAAAAAATTTGAAATTGGTGTATTCAAGTGTAAGTTTATACTTCGGCTCTTTCTCTCTTTAGGGTGGGTTTCCACCGCTAGGGTTTTTTCCTCCGCTATCGTTTTGTAATGAGGAGCGGCCACCGTAGGCGGACTTAGGCATACAGGGTTTTTTCTTCCGCTGTCAATTGTGCGGTTTTTTTTTCTTTTGCTTAGCGAGATTAAGCGGAGGGAAGATGATGCTTAATCTCTGGCGATCTAAGGTTGTGCAGGGACGGAATATGAATGTTTGGTCTTCGACGGTCAAAGGCCATGGACGAAGCGTGGGGCTTGAGACTGGAACAGATCTGGATTCGAGGTCATATGTGTTAGGTGGCGACAATGGAGGCTTGGTAGAGAACATGATGAATAAGAGGCAAGGTGAGAAAGAAGCTACAATAGTGATGGATCATTCCCCTCCTGAACCGCAATCATGGAGTGCAGGAGAATCTAGGGTTTGGAAGCGTCTTTTTAATTTTACTATTTGCTTGCGTTTTATTTTTCATGATCAGACTGTTTATTTTTCTGTTGGTTACTTTTATTATTGTAATACTCTTGCATTAGGATTGGGTGATAGGAGGTCTGCTTTAACCGTCTTTGGCTCATGTAAGCCCATTATAGGATCAGCGAGTTATATTACTTCTATGAAGGTGATTGACTCTAAGTCTGGTTCGAGGGCTGATGGTTGCCTATGGTCCTTATATCGTTTTAACCCCTTTCTGAATGCTAATGTTGTGATATCAATGTAAGCCTCACTCTTCCCAAAAAAAAGTATCCGTTTATACTTGAATTAAACATTTCAAAGCTAAAAGTTGGAAGCAGGTTGAGGGGTGCTTTAAAGTGTTTTTCACTTTTTTCTATCACACAAAAAACACTTATTTTATCAAACACTACCAACTTTTAACTTTTTCAAAAACACTCTGTTCTCAAACACTACCAACTTTTAAATTTTTCAAAAACGTTTTTTTTTCTCAAACACTACCAACTTTTATTATTAAACACTTTCCAAAATCACTTTAAAAACTCATTTTTTTTAAGTAGAAGCAATCACAAACACTCTTTTAATGAATTTAAGGAATATGTGTGACTACTGGCATCATCACCCGACCCGCCCGACCACCCGAATAAGCATTAATATTTATACTTTAGGGTGTGTTTGGAGGGAAGGGGAGGGAAGGTTTGAAGGGAAGTAGAGAAGGGAAGGGAGATGGGAATGGATTCTTTCCTCGTGTTTGAGAGTTACAAAATTCAAAAGAGAAGGGTTTTGGAGGAAATATAATTAAAATGTCATGTGTACCCATTTCCCATTCTATGAACATAATCTACATTGGATGTCATTGATGGAGTATATTCCCATATACGCTAGGGTATCATAATCAGCGGGCAAAGACTCCAAATTACATCAACATTTGGTGCGAAATTCCAGTCGAGGCCGATCTTGGCCCCCGAGGTCGGGTCACAACACAAAACAACAAACTGACAAAGTATAAAGACCTTAGCCGAGGCCGACCTCGACCCCCGGAGGTCGACGCAACATCGAGCTCCCAGATCATCAAGAGGCCAACCTCGAGCACACTGAGGTCGGTACACAATTCGGCCTTGGACACAGTCAATAAGTCAACGGAAGTTAACAGGAAAGCGGGAACAACTGCTACCGGACCAACTGAAGACCACAAATGAATTCCCCATATATGAGCTCTCTGTACCCGAAGCTCTGACCTCACGGAGCTCGGGGTCTCACTAATCAAATATGAACTTAAACATTTCAGCGATCCAAGTATCGCGCAAGTTACAGGCACGTCACCCGCACCACACGGGCGTTACGTCACTCCCGTGGACAGAACAAGAATATTCTTACACAACACACATGTAGCACACGCGCGTGTTCGGCCACGCGAAGGAAAAAATCAGTTATATGCAGCACTAATCATCCAGTTGTCCCAGTCATCTCTCCAGTCACCTTTACACGTGTCACTATGTTATTAGACTAGCCTGTTTGTTCTGTTAAACAAGTGTGACACGTGTCTTCACCACAATAGAATAGCATCTTTTTTACGTGTTGGCCAAGTACTTCTTCCTAGTATAAATATCAATTTTGAGCTTGTGGAAAGGGATCCGAAATTCTCCGTGCAAACTTGTTGTTACCCTGCTCAATTTTGTACTCGACCTTACTTAGCACTTTTCATCTCTCTTATTCCTAGATTCTAGCTACCCCCGGGGTCGGCGGTCCATCATTTTGGTGCTCTCGTTGAGAGTAGAACAGTGAATCAAGTTAGGTCCTCCCTTTTTTCAGTTCTACAACAAGCCTTTTCATCAACAACAAAGGCAAGAGGAAAGAGAATGATGCAAAATAGGTGCGAACTGCTCCCGTCGTTGAACCTGAGCCGTCGGTTGAGACCACTGCTACATCCGGCCTTCGGAGGGCAGCCAAAGGAAACAAAACTACCCTAGTGCCTGCAGATTTGCGCAACCAGATCCAGCGAGGTTCTTCATATCTTTGTCTCTAGCTTTCTCAAAATCGTGATGCAGCGGCAATACCACCCGCCCAAGTGATGCTGCAACTCCAAAATTTTCTGGTTACGGGTTCTTCTGCGACGGTTACAGCAAATACTTTCTACGTTGCAATCCCAGGCGGCAACTGGAGCAACAAACAGTGCCGCGAGACACATTTCTGCAGCGGTTTCACGGCCACAATCTCTGATAATAGGGTCGATAGAGGCCCCATGGGTGGTTCAACAACGTGCGGAAATGATCTTCCCTTCATCTCCATCGTACCAGCAACCAACATCGGTGATTACTGCAGATCCCGCCGTACAGAAAATTGGCGCCTCCCTCCAGCAAGCCACTCCTAGGACCCAGTCTCCTCCGCTGTGCCAGATGGCTTCAGGCGCGCTAATCAATGATGTGCCTCTAGCACAGAAAGCGGGGGCCTCTAGGCCCCAAACAGTACAGCAATTTGCGGTCCCACCGCCACCCCTTGTGTTGCCATCAAAGTACACTGCACGTCGTATGGACTACGACTGCCACAATGATGAAGGCGACTATGCCATCACTATTGAGAATTCCTAACAGTTCTTCTCCCCACAAGGGCTACAGGGGACAATACCCCAACCCTTGGATTAAAGTGGGAAAGCGTCTTATCTTCAGTTGCTTATGGGACAGATGAACGGCAAACCAACGCCTTTCTGTCAACATTCGGGGAGTAAATAAGGTTTCCTCCCCGAGTCCTGACATGCACCACCACCGTCAGCAGCGGCCACAACAACTGGAGAGGAGGACTCTAGAGCGCATCCCCACTTTGGAGAGACTAGGGGGCAATCACTCTCCCAGATTGCCCCCCCCCCCCCCCCCCTCCCACCATGCCACCAACCATCACCTTGTTCCCCCTAGACAGCAGTGGATCTCGCCGCCTAAGCGCCATCGCCGGGTGGACCCCAGGGAGGATCAAATTTGTGCTCTCACTCAATAAGTGAGAGCGGTTGCAATAGTACCACCACCACCTCCTCCGCCTACATCATGGGATGCCCAACTAGAGGCACTAACACTCCAGGTGCAACAGAAGCAGGCTCAAATCAACAGCGACCTAACAAACGTTGAGGGTAAGATCTGCCGCCCCCTTCACCGCCAGAATCATGCAGGCCCCCATACCCCAAAGTGTAAGGGGCCCAGTATCCAACTATATGGGGCTAAAACTGAGCCCCAAGAGCACTACTCTCGCTACGAGTTCGGCATGCATATGTTGGGCACTAGCGAAGAGTATATATGCATAATGTTCCCCTCCACTTTGGAGGGGGTAGCATATGATTGGTTCAAGGAGGGCGCTGGCCACGAGCTTCATGAAGCACTTTGCATCGAGGATAAAGACGAAGAAGTATTTCTCCTATCTCCTCTCCGTCAAGCAAGGGAAGGGAGAGCTCTTAAGCACCTTCCTCAAAAGATGGAATGAAGAGACCTCAAAGGTCTACGGGGCGGATGAGAATACCCGCCTTGCCATGCTGCAAGAGGTTCTACGAACATGTGGCTTCTCCAACAGCCTGATCACCGATCCCCCCAGGGATTACCAGCACGCCCTTCTCTGAGGCCAGAAGTATGCCCTGGCGGAGGAGGTGCGCAATCATAAGAGGGAACAAGAAACTATTGTCAAACCCCCAAAATAGGAGCCTAAGCAGTAGAAAAAATCAAAACAAGACAAGGATGAGCGGCCTCGTGATGATGTTGATCGGAACTAGTGCAGGGGTGGCTACAAGACATATCTGCCTCAGGCTATCCCGAACGACATCTACATGCAGATTGGCAGAATGTCCACTGGAAAGGAGATGTGGATGAGATTTTCAAGATCATACAAGGAACTGAAATTAGTGTGAAGGCTAAGAAGGCAAACACGTTCACTACTTATGACTCATTCAAGGCAAAACTTTGAGAATCTCTGGAGGATACCTACATCCGCTTTCTGAGACTGATTAACGAGATGAGGAAGATCAACTTTCACAAATCGAACATGGATCTGAATGTGTGATTCCTATCTTCCCTAGCCCCTAAATGAAAGAAGTTGTGCTCGCACATCCGACACACAAAAAG